AACTCTTAAAGCGAGTTAAGAACTCTTCCTCCTATGCTAAATGTCAATTCCGAGAAAACCGTAAAAACAAGAATTGCCAATACAACCCTAGCCATTTGTGAAAGGATGAAAAATCGAGGAGAATTGGTTTTCCACCATTCTAAAATATTAAAATCAGCATTATTATTTTCAGCACTTACACTAAGATATTTATCCAACTCTGTTTTATTTCCTCCACCTCTAATATCACACTTGTTTTTTTCAAAACGCATCATTATCTCCCTTATGGCAACTTATTATCTCTAATTCTCTTCTTAATGATCATCTACAAGAAGAGGTTTATATGAATAAACCATAAGAGTTTGTCAATAAGTATCATCCACATTATGTATACGAACTAAACAAGGCTCCTTATGGCCTCAAAAAGTTCTTAGAGCTTAGTTTCAAAAAAGTGATTCATCCTTTTTCATTTTTCAATAGGACAAGCATTGAATCTATATGCTAATTTATGTTGATGATTTGGTTTTTAGAAGGACTAATTCAACTCTTATTGAGTCTATAAATTCGTCTCTTAGAGTTTTGAGTTCAAATACCTTAATTTTATTTGATTGCTACTTTTTTCTTCATTGACAATTATAGATCATGTAATATGATGGTACATTACAAGTATTATGTTTTTTTCTTTGACGTTAATAGTATTTTCTAGTTAGTTTGGATGTTAATTGATACTAAATTATTTTTGGACTATATTAGGTAGGGCACCCTCCATATTGGCTAGGTTCATTTAGATGACTTTAATATTTTTTTTTAGATACCAACTCCAAAGTTTTGACCCTCTAAGTCAAAAAAGAAAGCAAATTTGCTTAACCACTAAACTAATCTCTTAAGGTTTTACATTATTATACTTGATTTTGTAATTTTTAAAATTATAAAGTAATGAATGACTAAATTTATAATAATTTCAAATAGGTCATCCATACTCGAAACAATGCATATTAAATTTAAATATTACATTTCAATAGAAGGGTTAGATAATATTTTTCAAAATAGGTCAAACCTTTCATAAACTCCAATATATTTGAAACTCGATCCCCAAACTTCAAATTTTGGGTTTGACTTGTTTTGAACTTTATTTTTTTTTTTAAGATTTAGTCAATTCTTTAGTTTTTTTTTCTTTATTTAAAAATAACAGCCACATATATAGGTTTATGATGAAAATCATTCAGTAATATTTATTTGGGACTCTATAAAAAAATTTAGGGTCATTCTGAATAATTTTTTTTCTATATTTTTAATGTTTAGAATATATCAAGAATTAAATTTTTTAGAGGTGATAGTGACAATTGAAAATCATAGATGGACTAAAAAAATTCAAAGAATGTCAAACACAAAATTTGAAATTCGAAAACTAATTTTCAAATTAACTCAAATGTAGAAAACATTTTCATCTATTTAGCCCTTTTTTTCAAACTTATAAACATGACTTGTAAATTACCAGACTTTAGTTTGGATTAGCCAATTGTCTGCGCTTACACTGCATGGTCTGGTTGAACAATATCATTTTAAACTTTTTAAAATTTTTTAATTTAAATTTCATATTTAATTAATTTTTTATAATATTTTTTAATAAATTTTTTTCTTAAAAAAACATAAATCATTCTTCTTTATGAATTGATTTTAACTAAAATATTAATCAAGAATTAAAAATTTTAAAAATATATTTTTTCATAATATTTTATTAAAAAATAAAATTATAATTAATAAATAGAATTTTATAAAAAATAATAAATGAAAATAATTCTTATTTAATGTCTGTTGAGAAGATTAATTTTTGAAATTATCCGTGCAATGTAACTGCTAGATAGAAAAAAATCATTTCAAATTTTTTTAATTTTTTTTAATTTTTTATTTAATTATTACTAATTTTTTATTTTTCATATAATTTCTGCTTAAAAAATGATTTATTTTTTTGTGTTTCGGAATTCCTAAAAAAAAAAAACTTGTAATATATAATTTAAACCTAAAATATTAATTAAGAATTTAAAAATAAATACTTTAAATAAATAAATAAATAAATAAATAAATAAATATATATATATATATATATAATCGTTAGTTTGTGTGAAAAAAATAATATTGATTTTTAAAAATTTTAACACCCCATAAAATAAAAAATAACATAAATTGATGGAAAAAACAAAGAAAAAACCAAAAGAAAAAAAAAGGGCATATAGTGCATCGGGTAGGGATTAAAATTTTTATTTTAAAATTTCAAGAATAAAAAAAATAATTTGAAATTACAAAAAAAAAACCTACGAAAAAAGAAAAAAACTAAGAGTGATTTTTTTAAAAAAAGAAAAAGAAAAAGAAAAAAAAACCTAAGAGTGAATAGTACATTATGATGGTAAAAAAAAAAAAAAAAGGAGTGAATAGTACATTGTGAGGGGGAGAACAATATTGTCATAAAAACAAAACTTTAAAAATATATTGTTTTATAAGAATATATCGAAAAAAATAAAGTTATAATCAATGTATATACTTGCATAAAAATTAACAAATAAAAAAATAAAATTTTATTCTTATTTAATGTTGATGAGAAGAATTCATATGATCTATATATATTATATAATCGTCAATTTATGTGAAAAAAGCAATGATTGATTTTTAAAAATTTTAACATTGTATTAAATAAAAAATAAATTGATAGAAAAAAGTAAAGAAAAAAAGGCATGTAGTGCATCAAATAGGGATTAAAATTTTTATTTTAAAATTTAAAATAATTTGAAAATCATAGAAAAAACGTAAGAAAAAAAGAGTCAAAATTACAAAAACAAAAAAAAAATTGAAATTAAAAAAAAAAGCTAAGAAAAAAGAAAAAAAACTAAGAGCGAAAAAAAGAAGAAGTAAGAGTGAATAGTACATTATGAGGGTAAAAAAAAAAAAAAAGAGTGAACTCGTACATTGTGAGAGAGTGATTTTTAAGGTATATACATTTGATCTATAAATATTATATAATTATCAGTTTGTGTGAAAAAATAACGATCGATTTTTAAAAATTTTAACATTCAATTAAATAGAAAAAAGAACATAAATTGATGAAAAAAAATAGAAAAAACCAAAGAGAAAAAGAAAAGACATATAGTGCATCAGCTAGGGATTAAAATTTTTATTTTAAAATTTTAGGGATCAAAATGAAATAATTAAAAAATTATAAAAAACCTAAGGAAAAAAAAACTAAGAGTGAAAATTAAAGAAATAAAAAAACGAAATAATGTAAAAACTAAAAAAAAAAACTAAGAAAAATAAATCTAACAGTGAAAAAAAAAAACTAAGATTGAGTAGTATAGCGTGAGGGTAAAGTAAAGTAAATTAAATAATAATTAAAAAAATTAAGAGTGAAAATTATATAAAAAAGAAAAAAAGCAGAGTAATGTAAAAGTTAAAAAAAAAAAGCTAAGAAAAAAGAAAAAAAAATCTAAGAGTGAAAATTAAAAAACTAAGAAAAAAAAACTAAGATAGTAATATAATATGAAGGTTAAAAAATAAAAACTATTCAAATGAAAAATACAATAATGAAAGAATTCACTGTTCATTTGAACAGTGAATTCCTCGTGCCATTTAGTTATATAAAAAATTTTAAATAAAACTTACTACACGATAAAACTATACGTCTAATCTAAGATGTTAGACATATCTGGTGGCAGACAACGGAACAGTAGATCCGTACGTCTAATCTAAGATGTTATAAATATCTGATGGCAGGTAAGCAGTGACGTAAGAAATAAGAATTAGCAGTTGATGGTCAAGGTCAACTCCTTGCTTAAAGAACTTTGCTGTCGTTTTACCTTGTCAAACGCGGCGGGCTGCTCCCCTTTAGTTTTCACCCTTCCAAAATGGTCAACTGTACAGTCATATATACAGCTGTGTTTCAAAATGGTCACATGAATTTGTGAAATGAACAGAAGTAAGAGAAAATTATAAATTAGTCCCTTTTGTTTCATTTTGAATTAGTTAATCTTTTTTTTTAACAAATAATTATTTATATTTTTAATATTTTATAACTTCATTTTTTATTTTAATTAATAGAATAAATAAATAAATAATATGGAAGAATTGATAAAAAATGACATTTTTTTTAAATAATATTATATTAAGTGTGATAAATAATGATTAAAAAACTAAATCATTAGTTTTTTTTTAAAAAAAAATTAATTTATTTTTCAAGAGTAAAGAAACTAATTTATAATTTACTCACAAAAGTAAATAAGTAAGAAGTGAATTTATTTGCTTTCACTTTTATTTAATTTGAGATATTTTAATATGAGATTTAAAAGTGAATTTCTTTATATGAAAGAAGGCTCTTGATGGAAAAGTTTTCTCAAGTAAAATGACATTAAAATCAAAATAAATCCTTAATATATATAAAGCTAAAAATTCAAAATTATCCCAAACCAAAACCATATATGACCCTTTTAGGTGTGTGACCCTTCACCCTTTACAAAGTAAATGGTATGGTAAAAAATTTTCAAATCCCCTAAAGAAAAAAATTCCTTTCCGAGAAGCAGAGCAAAAACTTCTCTCATCTCCTCGACACTTCCCTGTACAATCCCAACCTCAAACCGCCTTCTACCATTGTTCATCTCTTCCCTTCTATTAGATCGAAGCCAATCTAAAATGACTTTCCCCAGATATAACGATTTGGCAAGAATCAGAAAGAAAACAAAATCTTCAGCAAAATAAATGGAAGCTTGCACATAATTTAATCCGATTTTAGTTCCTCTTCTAATTAAATAATACTGTTATAGGCTTCGTGATTGTTTGATGAGTTGGAGTGTTATGGATGAAGATGATGGTTTGTATCCAGATATATTGAATTGATGAAATGGGTCATTGTCTTCAAGGACCAACAAAATGTGGAAACTTAGTTCTGAAGGAGCCTTCTTCTTCCCAAGGAGCCGCCGTAACTGGACGGCCTTGCCAACTAATTGGTAATTCGCGCGTGCGTCCTTTCTTGCGATTGTTCAGAATGATTGTGGGTTGTGCTGTAAAAAACTAGAATCATCGGACATGTCTCGTAGGCTAGAGGCAGTCTGATCCCGAGCACCTAGCTGCTTCTTGAGGAGGGAGACGTGAAATACTGGATGATCCTTAGTCCCCAGCGGCAGGTCCAGATCATAAACTACTACCCCAATTCGCTCAAACACTCGATAAGGTCCATAAAAACACGATGAAAGTTTTTATGAGCGACACAACAAAAGGACAGATTGTCGATACGACTGGACGTGCAGATATACCCAGTTACGACTTTTGAATTCTTGCTCCATTCGGTCGCGATCATACACAGCTTTCATTTGGGTTTGTGCTTGTTGAAGTTGAGACCTTAAGTCTCGAAGAGTGTGGTCTCTTATAGCGCTTGCCTTAGCTGTAACCAATGGATAAACCTTATGGCAACTCATTATCTCTAATTCTTTTCTTAAAGGTCATCTACAGGAAGAGGTTTATACGAATAAAGCATAGGAGTTTGTCAGTAAGTATCATCCACATCCTATATACAAACTAAACAAGGCTCCTTATGGCCTCGAACAAGTCCCTAGAGCTTGGTTTCACAAGCTATCCACTTTTCTATTAACTTATGGCTTCAAGAATCACAAAGCGACTTGTCCTTATTCATTTTTCAGTAAGACATGCATTGAATCTATATGTTAATTTATGTTGATGATTTAGGTCTTAGAGGGACTAAATCAACTCTTATTGAGTCTATAGACTCGTCTCTAAGAGTTTTGAGTTCAAATACCTTAATTTATTTGATTGCTACCTTGCCCATCATTGACAATTATAGATCATATAATATAATGGTCCATTACAGTATTATGTTTTTTTTTTGTTTGACGTTAATAGTATTTTCTAGTTAGTTTGGACGTTAATCGATACTAAATTATTTTTGGTCTATATTAAGTGGGGCATCCTTCATATTGACTAGGTTCATTTAGATGAATTTAATAAATATTTTTAGATACCAGCTCTAAAGTTTAAACCTACTAAGTAAAAAGAGAAAGCAAATTTGCTTAACCACTAAGCTAATCTCTTGAGATTTTACATTATCATATTGGATTGTATAATTTTTAAAATTATAAAGTAATGAACGATTAGATTTATAGTAATTTTAAATAGATCATCCATACTCGAAAAGATGCATATTAAATTTAAATAAAGCAATTTACATTTCAATATAAGGGTTCAATAATATTTTTCAAATTAGGTCAAACCTTTCCTAAACTTTAATATATTTGAAACTCAGTCCCTAAACTTTAAATTTTGAGTTTGACTTCCTTTGAATTTTTTTTTTAGATTTAGTCAATTATTTATTTTTATTTTTATTTTTTTTGTTAAAAAAAATGGTAACGTAGATTGGTTTATAATGAAAATCATTTAGTAATATTTATTTGGGATTCTCGTCAAAAATTTAGGATCATTCTGAATCATTTTTTCTATATTTTTAATGTTTTAAAAATAAAAATTATACGAGACCTTGAAAATTTTGTAGTTTTTTTTCAAAAATTAAATTGAATTTTTTATTTGTGCACAAAATTTTAATTAAAAATACTAAGAATTAAAATTTTTAGAGATGATAGTGACAATTGAAAAATCATAGATGGACCTAAAAAAATCAAAGAATGTTAAACTCGAAATTTGAAATTCGAAAACTAATTTTCAAATCAACTCAAATGTAGAAAAAATTTCATCCATTTAGCTTTTTTTTTTTTTTTTTTTTTTCAAACTTATAAAATGACTTGTAAACGACCTTTACCGGCCGTAGTTTGGATTTTAAGTAAAACTTACTACACAAAAAACAGGAGAAAAAAAATGTACGTCTAATCTAAGATATTAGAAACATCTGATGGCAGACAAAGGAACAGTAGATCCGTACGGAGCTGGACCGAGAATAGAGGGAATATTTACTGGCACGTAAGCAGTGATGGATGGAAGAAATAAGAATTATCATGTCATGGTCAACAAACTTTCCTGGCTTAGGGAACTTTGCTGTCGGCGGGCTGCTCCCCTTTAGCTGTCATCCTTCCCTCGTTGCACGTTTTCCAACATACGACCTTCTGTACTGGCGTTGATGATTTCTCTCAATATATTTTAATAATATTTAAAATATATCAAATTAATTTTTATTAATTATTTAATTATTTTTTATTTTTATTAATATTTATTTTTTTGATTCGTAAATATATTAAATATTTTTAAAAATTATTTTTATAATAAATATTTCAATAATTTTTTTATCATTATACCAAACACCACCTAAATTATATTTAAATGATTAAAAATGATTATTATAATATTGTAATTATTTATAAAAAATTTAAAACTAATTAATTTATCAATAAATACATTATTTTTCTAATATTATTCATTTGCAACTAAATCAATAATTTGTATCTAATTTTAATTAGTTGGAAAATTTTATTAGTAATTGTAGTCAATAATTAGTTACAAATTATTCAAACATTAATATTTTGAAACCAAATGAATAATTATCTACAAATGATAACTAATAATTCATAAAATTATTTTTTAGATTAAATTATCAATTTATTTTTTCTTAAAAAGAATTTTTAATTGAGTTACCAAAATAACAATGCTAGGATTATATAATATATATATATTTTTTTTACTAAATGTGAATATTGACTTGATTTTGTCTAAAGTAGTTTTGATGAATTTCTTTGATGATTAAAAATGTATATTTTATTTTTTGAATTTAAATCTTAAAGTTAGTATTTATAACAAATTTATTAAATTTTTTTAAATGTATTTTATATTGTAAAATTATGAATATGCCTTATTAAAGCTTCTTCATAACTCATTGATATAATAATCATCGTCTGTTTTTGTATTGCAGTTTTTTGTATCAAACAAATATTAAAATATATTTTTCAGTAATTTTTTCATATAGCTACCAAACGTTAGAAAATATTTTTTTTTATAATTTTTTAGAAAATAACTTCTCTAGAATTGATTTTCTATTGAAAGTTATTCTTCAGATTTAGTTTTCCGTATTAAACAAACACTATAATATATTTTTCAAAATTTTTTTCATATAATTATCAAACATAAAAAATTATTTTTTTAAAAATAAGTTTTTAAAAGATAACTTCTTTAAAATTGATTTTCTATTGAAAGTTGTTCTTCATCAGGCTACCAGAGCTTTAGCTTTCATCTTTCGAAAGTTGCATATTTTCCCGATTCACGGCCACGGTCCCCGTATACATATGGCCAAAAACCCAAATGTAACTCCAAATTGCAATCGTAGGTTTGCAAAAGTTTGCAACTGTACAGTCATATATACAGCTGTGTTTCAAAATGATCACATGAATTTGTGAAATGAACAAACGTAGGAGAAAATTATAAATTAGTCCCTTTTGTTTCTTTTTCAATTAGTTAATCTTTTTTTTTTAACAACTAATTATTGATATTTTTAAAATTTTATAACTTAATTTTTTATTTTAATTAACAGAATAAATAAATAAATAATATGGAAGAATTGATAAAAAAAAAGATATTTTTTTAAAATATTATATTAAATTTGATCAATACTGATTAAAAAAACTAAATAATTATTTTTAAAAAAATAATTTATTTATTTTTCGAGAGTAAGGAAACTAATTTATAATTTACTCGCAAAAGTATATGAGCAAGAAGTGAATTTATTTACTTTCACTTTTATTGAATTTGAGATATTTTAATATAAGATTTAAAAGTGAATTCCTTTATATGAAAGAAGGCTCTTGATGGAAAAGTTTTCTCAAGTAAAATGACATTAAAATCAAAATAAATCCTTAATTTTTTTTTATATATGTAAAACTAAAAATTCAAATATTATCCAAAAGCAAAATCATATATGGTCTTATCGCCTCTCCCTGCACATGCAACTGATAGACTCGCTACAGCTCGAGGTACGTTTGGTTCTCAGCTTTGATAGGCATCTGCTACCATATTATTTTTTTCCTTCTTGTATTCAATTGAAAAATCCTAACCTATTAACTTGATAAGCCATTTCTGTTGTGGTTCAGTAGTGATCCGTTGTTTCCATAGAAATTTGAGGCTTCGTTGGTCTGTCCACACCACAAAATGAAGCCATTTCTTGAATACTAACACCGATGCCATCAATTCTTTTTCATAGTTAGACATCAAGAGACTTTTACCTTTCAAGGCTAGTCTAAAAAATGCAATTGGCTGATAGTTCTGCATGAGGATAGCTCCTAACCCATTTCTTGATGCATCACATTCTACTATGAACGAGGGATCAAAATTGGGTAATGCAAGTACAGGAGCCTGGGTCATAGATTGCTTCAACTCCTCAAAGGTTGTAGTGGCTTTTAGAGTCCAAAAGAAAGCATTTTTCCACAACATGGCTATTAGTTGTGCTGTAATTTTTCCATAATCTGTAATAAAGTTACGACAGTATCCAGTTAGTCCCAAAAATCCCTGCCAGGCTTTGACAATAGCAGGTTTCGGCCACTCCACCATTGCTTTAATTTTCAAACAGAGTACGACTACAGATTAGGATGTCATTAAAGAATACCAAGATAAATCTCCACATGTGAGCCTTGAAAATTTCATTCATGAGAGACTGAAATGTAGACGAAGCATTAGAGAGCATAAAGGGCACTAACAGGAATTCAAAATGCCCATGATGAGTTCGAAAAGCTGTTTTAGAGATATCCCCACAATTCATTCGAATCTAAAAATATCCAGATCGGAGGTCTAACTTCATGAAGAATTTCACATCGTGTAACTCATCCAACAGCTCCTCAATAACTGAGATTGGAAATTTGTCCTTCATAGTCGATAAAAAATCGCCAGCTCCCATAATTCTTTTTAACCAGTAGTACAGGGATAACATCTTTTCCACCATCCTCTCAATTTCTTGTTTTGGGAAGTAACGATATCAATAAAGATGAACACAAGCTAGACCGACACCAGAATGTTGGGGAATCTTATAATCGTGGTTGCATAGTGGTGGTAGCCTTGTAGGTGCTGAAAATAAATCTACAAACTCAATCAGTAAGGAAGCAAATTCAGGACTGAGCGTTACCTCAATACCAACACATAATGGCTGATTAGAGTGGATGGTACAGACTTGTAGGGTAAACACTATAACTTGACCTTGCCCTAGTGTTCTAGGAAGGAGTTTTCCCTCAAAACCAAGGAGTGTAAAGGAAAGCGATCCCTATAATAGCACCCTCTGACCCTTGATGTTAAATTGCATCTGTATTCGACTAAAATCCTATAGGGTTGGCCCTAATGTGCACAACCATTGCGTCCCTAAGACATCATCACACCCTTATAAGGATAGGAAGTAAAACCAACTTCCACTGTTATTCCTTACAACGTCAATTGGACTTCGGTGCACCGGCTTAAGCTTGACAATTTTTCTCCATTGGCG